ACGTATGAAGGACAGAGAATCAGTTCTTGCTCGTGATCTTGACAGATATCGATGCCAAAGGCGCTTGCTTCTCACAGGGACACCATTGCAGGTGTGTTGTGTCTATCATTGCTTATGTTCAGATCTACATTACTCTGCTTATGTTTGAATCTGCGTTATTGCGATAAGCTTATTGCGTATGTCCTACCTTTAACTAGGCTTATGCTAGTGTAGGATGCTACAAACAAAACTATTCAAGACTGAGTGCAGTTGCTCAATTGTCTTAAAACTTGCACATATAGAATGATATCTTTTGAATTCAGTTGCATGCTGATCCATTGAAATTTAATTGGTTTTAACAAGGAAAATTGTGGTTCAGCAAGATATTTTTGCTTACAGTCACAATCCATCATTGTGAACTTTGTACAGCTAAAGGGAAAATCCCTGCATGAGGTTTTAAGTGTCTTGTATTAGTAGTGCCTAAGCAGAGTTACATAGACAATTAAAAAAAAGTTACAGACAATAAAAATGAATCTTCGCATTTCTGTCCTTGGCTTGAGTTTTTTTGCCAAATGCTCTTAAGCGTGGCTCACTGGTTGCAACTGGGTGTTTATTTTTCTTTTAACCACATTAACTCTTTCTTACTTATCCATTCTTGTCTGAACTTCCTAAGCGCATGAATTAGCATAAGAGAATTTGTTTAAATGTGTTTGATGCAGAATGATTTGAAGGAACTATGGTCACTTCTAAATCTACTACTTCCAGAAGTATTTGATAATCGCAAAGCATTTCATGATTGGTTCTCCAAGCCCTTTCAAAAAGAAGGTCCGACACACAATGCTGAGGATGACTGGCTTGAGACTGAGAAGAAGGTCATTATTATCCATCGACTTCACCAAATTCTCGAGCCTTTCATGCTCAGGCGTCGTGTTGAAGATGTTGAAGGTTCACTTCCACCCAAGGTATAACTTCATGGTTGTCCTTGGTTTCAAAACTGTGATGTAGAAACTCTCTAATTATAACTTCAACTGCAGGTCTCAGTTGTCTTAAGATGCAGGATGTCAGCTTTTCAGAGTGCTGTTTACGACTGGATCAAGTCTACTGGTTCACTTAGAGTTGACCCTGAAGATGAGGAGCGAAGGGCTGAAAAAAATCCAAATTACCAGCCTAAAACATATAAAGTTTTAAATAATAGATGTATGGAGCTTCGAAAAGCTTGCAACCATCCTTTGCTTAACTATCCATATCTCAATGTTACAAAGGACTTTCTTGTTAAATCATGTGGGAAATTGTGGATTCTTGATCGGATCTTAATTAAACTTCAAAGAACAGGGCACAGGGTGCTGCTTTTCAGTACCATGACAAAGCTGCTTGATATCTTGGAGGAGTATTTGCAGTGGCGACGACTCGTCTACAGAAGAATTGACGGGACAACGAGCTTAGAGGATCGTGAATCAGCTATTGTGGATTTTAATAGTCCAGATACTGATTGCTTTATCTTCTTGCTAAGCATTCGTGCTGCTGGGCGTGGATTGAATCTTCAGACTNTAATTCAGTGAAGATTCATGGTTCAGGAAAACCTGGAAAAGTCAGTTGCTTGTCTCCTGATGATTCCTTTGAACCCACAAGAGAAAGTTGGGATAATAAGCCCAGCGGGACTTATAGTGGAGGGAGTAAGATGTCTGAGGTCATTCAAAGAAAGGTAAAAACACTTAAAAAGTAGTATTCAACTGTTAAATTGAAACTCCTTTTTATTGCATTAATTTCTTGATACTGCATCTCTACTGGAGTTTGGGAGAAGGAATCGGTTTTGTGTAGCACATTTTGTTATAGCTTTTTTTTTTAATACAAGTACCTGGACTTAAATTCTCTTGTTCAAATGAGTGTCTTGTATTAGAGCGGAACAGATACAGAAGATTCCTATAGCTGACTGCAGTTAGATTGGGATTGAGGCCTAATTGTCTTGTATTGTATGCTTTTCTAGTTTAAAGTTTATACTGTATTTATTATTTTGGTTTCCAGCTTTCATCAGAATGACCTCTCAATCATCAGTTTTCCTANTGTGATCAGTTTTCCTATGTTTTGTCTGAATATCTGCTACAGCTTTGGCTAATCTATGTTGATCAGGCTAGGACTATTTGATTTTAATCAGAAATTATGGTCCGGTGACTGCCTTTAATGTACTTGAACACAATCTGTCCAGCTGGTTCAGAGTAGTGTTACTACATATAGTCAACAACTACGCCTCAACCCCAAGCAAGACGGGTTTCATTTTGTATCTGTTCATAAAGAAGATACAATTACTCAGGGCTCTGTGTGTCAATCTTTCCCTCTCTTGATTGCAGATATTACTCCTGATCTTGTGCATGATTTTTCTTCTATTGCAGTGCAAGACTGTCACTATCAAGCTCCAAAAGAAAATAGAGAAGGGTGGCCATCAAATAATTCCACTACTACATGGTCTGTGGAACAGAATTGAAAGTTCTGGTTGCATAGGTGGGGCTGACGATAGTCCATTTGGTTTACAGACAATTGATATGCGTGTTGATGAGTCTGAGTACAGTGGAGTGCTCGAATTTGTGTCTGATGTGCAGCTGATGTTAAAACGTGCAGTGCAATACTTTGGTTTCTCACATGAGGTATGCTATGATTCTTAAGATCTGAACTGATTCAGCTTATTATACTCCTCAATATTGCCAAGCTTTCATACTGATCTCCAGAAAAGACATAGAACTGCCAGTCCTGTTTTGCTGATATTTATGTAACTCATCGAATAAGAATAATGTATAAATGAACTTGAGTCAACCAGTGAAGAAACCAGTATTGAGTGGTCTATTGGTCATCACGTCATGCTCATACCCAGCTCCCCCCATGTTCTTTTACTTCAATTTCTGAAATTTCGCTACCATTACAGGTGAGATCTGAAGCAAGGAAAGTGCATGATCTTTTCTTTGACATCTTGAAGATAGAATTTCCAGAGACCGACTTTCGAGAAGCAAGGAATTCTATCTCTTTTGCTGGACCTGCAGCTAGTACTACACCCGGCGCATCTTCAAGGCAGATGCCTGTAGGTCAGAACAAGAGACATAAACTGATAAATGAAATGGAACCTGACCCTAGCCCGCTACAGAAACCAAAGACACGTGGAGCACTCCATGCCGGTGAAGATGCCAAGGCTAAGAATCATATGGCTCAAAGAGAAACAAGATTTGGTGGTAGCAGCGGCCGGGAGCTTAGCCAACAGGATGATTCGCGCCCGTTCACTCATCCAGGGGAGCTTGTTATTTGCAAGAAGAAGAGAAAAGATAGAGAGAAGTTGGGTATGAAACCTGGGAGTAGTTCTGCTGGTCCTGTCTCACCACCTAGTGTTCCCCGCAGTATCAGAAGTCCAGGCTCGATCCCAACTGTGAAGGAGGGGGGAAGGTTAAACCAGCAGACACCACCCCAAAATCAGTTGAATGGCAGTGGTAGCAGCAGCTCTGTTGGCTGGGCAAACCCTGTGAAGAGACTGAGATCAGACTCTGCAAGAAGGCGGCAAAGTCATTTATGATTATAGTTGTTAAAGGTGTACAATGTAATGCTAATAGCTGATGATACTCTATTGAGGTGCTGTGAATAACCGGCCCTTCGGATTTTCATACCTCCTGAGCTGTGTACTTCCTCCATTCCATCCCCAGCCTCACTTGTATGATAAATATGCTATTGAAGATAGGCTTCTTACTGTCCGCCATTAGCAACTGCTTGTCTGAGATTTGTCTTTTTCTTCTTGTTCCTCCTCTTATCTTTTTCTATTTTTGTAGAAATGGTTGAGTGCCAGATTATGAAAAGCTGCCAAAGGGTGCTCGCCCTATTTACATGCAACCTCTTCCTTTTTTTTTTCTTTTTCAAAATCAATTCTCAATAAACTAAGCCGTATTCGTCTGCATTTTGTGTTTCTTCGCTAAATACCGTGCTCTCTTTGATATCGCTATGAAACAATCGCCGACAATTGTCCTTTTGCAATTGGCCACTGGCTGTTCTGATCTTCGGAATATTATTTGAATTTAGTAGTAGGCTGTTCTGATCTTCGGAATATTATTTGAATTTAGTTTACTACTATGAGATTGACGAGGATGTCACATACCGTATTGAGGTGGAATGGATGAAATGGAGGTTCACTTCCGGTGTTTTGTGTGATAAAAATGTGCCACCAAAACTTAAAGGTAAGTTCTATAGAGCGGTGGTCAGACCGACTACGCTATATGAGGCGGAGTGTTGGCCGGTCAAGACATCCCATATCCAGAAGATGAAGGTGGCGGAGATGAGGATGTTGAGGTGAATGTGAGGGCATACCAGGTTAGATAAAATAAGAAATGAAGTTATTCGGGACAAGGTGGGTGTGGCCCCTGTAGAGGACAAGATGCGGGATTTAGATGGTTGGGGCATGTGAAGAGGAGAGGCACTGATGCTCCGGTGAGGAAGTGTGAGGGGCTAGCATGGGAGGGCCAATGGAGAGGTAGAGGCGGGCCGAAGAAGTATTGGGGAGAGGTGATTAGGCAAGATATGATGTTGCTCCAGTTCACCGAGGACATGACCATGGATAGGAAGGTGTGGATGGTGAGAATTAAGGTAAAGGGTTAGGTAGTCGAATGTTGTCCTTGTTTGTAGCAGTAGCTTTGATACACCACTTAGTGCCTTCCGTATTTTTTTCGTACCCCTAATCTTCTATTACTACTTGTTGTCTTGTGTTTTGGTTCTCTGAATGCATTACCTTTTGCTAGTTTCGTATTTTTGGTTTAGTTGTTAGTTCGGTTTGCTTGTTATTGCCCTTCCCCTCTCCCCTTCCTGAGCCGAGGATCTCACGGAAACAATCTCTTTGCATTTTAAAGACAAGGGTAAGGTTTGCGTACACTCTATCCTCCCCAGACCCCACTTGTGAAACTACTGGGTATGTTAGTTGTAATTTGCTACTATGAGATTTTCTTTTTTTGGTTTAGAAGTTAGGCAAACAGAAGTTTTATGAATTGGCGAGCACAGTTACAAGGCACTTATCCTAGCAAATGGCAACCAAACACCAGAAAATTAATTATACCATATATATTTGAAAAAGACTAAACTGATATTTTCTCCACAAGAAATGATCAAGTCTGAAATAAAAGGGGACATATAGTTTACTAGAGAAAATGACAAAAATGGTTCCTCATGTTCAAAATGATTGCTTAACTATATACTTTCTGATTAGTTATGGTCCTCTAAGCTTGTCAAAAAATAAGCATGAATCGCGGAATATTGATTTTCGTCAAATATTTAATAAACTATGATTATTATATTTAACAGGAATCGTGATTAGCAAAAACTTTTCTAATAATAAGAAAATACTAGTACTAGAATTAAACAAATAGAGACAAAAATTCAAGCGAATGGGATTCTGTCCGTACGAATAAACGAGGGTCGCATTTCACCGGCATCTGTTTCCCCATCTCTTGTGTTTGTTTATTTACCAATGAAAGAGTTGCCAGCTTCAGTGTTGCTTCTGAGCTTTGTCCCTGTCCAGGTTTTTCTTCTTTACACTGATTTTGTTGACTTGTAATTTGTGATACATAGTTATATGAAAATTTGCTATTGTTGCATTGACATTTCCAGAAGCTTTAGCTGCTTTTTTAAACTCAATAATCTCACGTTTAGTCCTTAGGCTACAATCAGTCACTTCGATGCCTCTGAGTCTGAGGGTCCTCTTACTTTACTCTTGAAATGCTTCTTAAGGTGTCAACTTCATGTTATAACTAAAACTCAATGGTTAAAAAATATTTATCGACTTCAAAAAGTCATGTACTTCGAACAGTGAATGATAAAGCAAGTCAAACGCAATCGCTTCTTTGGATGTGATTTTAGAAGTTGAAATGAAAAATAAAGAGGAGGTAACAGAGATCTATTTTCTGTTAATCCTCGAATTCTTTGTTTAAAAGTTGATTGTTAGGAAAATCAATATATGACATTTCCAACTACTGCCAAATATCAGTACAGTTCCTAAAGAAATTAAATAAGACGCTAATTTTGCATGTTAATTCTTTTGTATGGTTGATTTTTTGAAAATTGAAAATCAATTTCCTTCTGGAAATTTCTGTCCATGGACCTGTAAACAGTACATCTTAATGATATTAATTTGAATTGTTAGGATTACTTTGTCATTGTTGTTTATTTGATATTGAGATAAATGAAGTTAATCGTAATTTTGCTGTTATAAGTACTATCCGATTTGTCCTGTAAATTTTGTGTTTTCTGTAAATTGTGTGGTTTACTTCAAAGAAGTCTGCCCAGGAGGAGTGTTGCCTTTTTATTTTTCGCTTTTTACTTTTAAGAACACTGATTTTAGTTCTCACTTTTTTGTTCTAGATGGTATTGAAATGGATGTTCTTCTAGGTTACCCTATTCATTATAAGGTTATTCTCAAAATATTGCTATCGAGGGAAAAACATATTTTTATGTACAAGATAAGTGTTTTACTTTTTGCATTCATTTGTAGGAGAAATCCCTAGAAGTCGTGCGAGCAAACAATAACAACAATAATAAACCTAGTGAAATCCTACAAGCGTGGAGGGTAGTGTGTACGGAGACCTTACTCCTACCCCGGGAAAGTAGAGAGATTGTTTCTAAAAGACCCTCGGCAAGAAGTCGTGCGAGCAATGGCAAAGAAAATGGCATGTATTGCAGCTCAATTGTTGCTAGAGGGATTACCTGAAGCCATGGTACTTGAGGTTCTGTTATGGCTGCCATTGAAGCCTCTATACCAATGCAAGTGCGTCTCCAAGGCCTGGTGCTCGACCATCTCTGACCCCGAATTCATGAAACTGCATCACGTTCGCAACTTGGGCATTGTCATCTCCACTGTGTCTTTGGGATCTTTGTGGTCGCGCTTGTTACAAGCAAGGCTCTGTCTTGAGGAGAAGTCCATTGGATGGGAAGGTGAATCTCCTTTTATCGAGCGGATTGATTATGAATGTGGAGAAGATAAACCAATTAAATTCACACAAGTCATTAATGGCCTGTTATGTTTCTGTACCCCATCTCTTGGCCTTTCTATCTGCAACTTGTACACTGGTGAAACAATTGAGCTCCCACTCCCTCAGTTTTACTGCAATAATGGATCAACTCGTTTCCATTTTGGCTTTGATCCCATCAGTGGCTCGTACAAGCTGCTCAGCCTTAGTTACTGCAATAACAGGTTACCTCTTGTTATAGCAGAGATTCTTACCATAGGAGCGGACATGACAAATAGCTCGTGGAATCGGGTGAGGAGTATTCAAGTAAATCTAGAGTTATTGCCCCCGCAAAGTGTTTGTATTGATGGAATTCTGTGTTGGTATGTGTATACACGCTTCCTAGGGAAAGAAATGGAAGTTTCTATATCTGCATTCTACCTGAATGAGATTAAGTTTGGTAACATCTTCCTTCCAGCAGATTTTGCAGCTACTCGCTTAATAACTGTTGAACCAGTCAGATTGATGCAATTCAACGGATGTTTGGCTGTGGGATGTCTGGATTCGGCCACTACCAAACCATGGAAACTGAGGGAGTTGAAACTATGGGAACTTAAAGATGTACAATGCAGTAGGTGGATCAACCATTCCATGACCTTACCTGAAGAACTGGTAAGATGTAATAGGGAAAGCTGGTGTAGTTTTGGTAACCTTCCAACAGGTGAGATACTGCTGGCTAATCCTAAAGCTAATAATTCTTATATCCCTATTTATTCTTATGATCAATCTGTTGGAAAGTTTCAGAGATTTGTTATTGGCAAGTCTCCTGGTATGGTTTCTCCTGAATGTTTTCAAATATCTTGTCTTGAAGTATACAACAATGACTCTCTTGAAGCTTTACTATGCAAACCTCCAACTGATGTTATACATCGTTTCAAACGCCGCCTGTTAACCCATGTTATTGTTATGGACTCAAGTATGGACCCTGCTATGAGCTCTGATGACTAAACAGGATGTCAATGCAATTGAGCCTGGGGTGGTTGTGCTTAGAAGAAGCCGAAGACCAAAACAGCCCAATAAGAGGTTGTCAGATTTTGTGTGGTAACATGGCTATGGTAGGGCACATAACTGAAGGGGGTAATGGAACAAAGGAGTATCAGTTTGTTATCTGAGTTTGAGTTTCCTTTCTATGGTTGTAAATGGTTATTCCTTGTTGATATTGTAGCAGTTCATACTTGATACTAGTTACTTATATAGGATGAAAGGTACACTCTTGAAGACTGTACCAGAGACACCTATTCATTTAACTTTGTGGAAATATTTTTAGTGCACCTCTTGTACAGGCAAAATTTGTTTCTGAGAAAGATCCTCTAAGAATGGTCATAAATCAGCTTCCAGGAGAAAACCAAAAATAGAAAAGTTATATTAGATCCTATTTTACTATTTTCCACAGAAATTAAATACAAAAACTAAACTATAAGTTGAGTTATGCAGGAGTTATAAGGCTTTATTTTTAATTGAAGTAAATTGCTTATAGTCTTTCCTATAGCTTTCTGGTCCACCGTGTATTTACAAGAAAGGCTTTTCCTTTCCGTTCATTTCCAAATTATTCTCCCCCCCCCCCCCCCCCCCCCCCCGGAAGACCCAAAAAAGGGAAAAGAAGAACACAAATAACAGCAATATCAAGAACAAAGAAATTAAAAGGTGAAGTTATTTACATTGAAGCTAAAAACTAATAAACAAGGGGAACTTTGTTTTGCATCTTTCCCCAATGAATAGTCTTGAACTTTGTAGGTCAACTTGATTTTAAACAGAACTAAGAACATCATTTACAGATACAGAAAGTGAATGAAAATCAGCAGAGAGGCTCATGGATCAACAGGGCCAGCAACTGCATCGTCAGCTGAATCATATTCCGCTTCACTTAACTCCTCATCACTTGACTTCTCCTCAGGGGCAGCTCCTACATCTTCAGGCTTTGCATATTTCTGACAATATTCTGGATGCAAGCACGTTAACGCCATATTAATACTACATCTTGAACTCTTCGGAAAATGCAAAATACTTACCAATTTAATGTAAAGGTTCAACCTCCTAACATATTAATCACCACTTTTACCTGTGGGACATGAGTATGAATGTAGAAAAGTTTCATCCATCATTAGAGAATATAGAAAATTTTCGTGCATCATTAGAGAACGCAACGCCTAGTTAGATATAACTTTCACGAAGATGCCAAATTTCTATTCAGCTAATCCACTTATCAAAGAATATCTATTCATGCTAATCCTCTTAAGGGAGAATGACTTGTGATAATAACAGCATCAACTTCCATTTTTATGGGTAAAAGGTTCTTTTTCCTTCCTCCCGTTCTTTAGAGAACGGCTACAAGAAAATCAGGAGCGAGTGATGCTATCTGTTTAACAATTTTAAAAAAAGGTGAGATTGCTTCGATAATGCCCAAGGAGTATCTCATTTTCATCCCCTTCACCTTTTTTTTTGAAAAAAAGAAAGAAATAATCTCATGTCCTTCACTTTTGAAAGGAAAATTAAGTAGAAACTGTGGCATTAATTAGGACTTAGGGGTCATAACTTGCATCTTTTATATCAGAAAGCAGGGAATACTGCATTATGAAGTAATCACATATAAGGAGAAGGCAAAAGCAGATGTTTATGGGTAAGCTGGAGACATTCACCAGTAAACAAGCACGTCAAATTTTAGCATTATGGCATGTCACACGCCTATACCATAAACATTACTTAAATGCTAAAAATAATAAGCTTTCTCCACTCAAGGCATTATTAAAACAGCAAAATACATTAACCTTGCAACTTACGAGAATCTCTTCATGTTTCATAAATAGCCATGACAACACATACGAGATACGCCAAGATGCATCCAGTCGCCCCATAAATTCTTACCAGTCAGAGGTGAGAGAAAGGGTGGAAACTAATAAGCAAATAAAAATCCGTATAAAACAAGCACATCAATTTTAGGAAGTTGCACTTCCATATTCCACTGTTTTCTCCACTTTCAAACGCAGGATAGTAAAGAAGAAGGGCATTTAGCCACTTGATCAAAAGAGAATATGCTCAACAAATAATGTCCAATTGGAATTGGAATAGCCTCTGTTTTTACACACCGAGATGGTTTTTCCTCACTAAAGAAAGTGAAGGCAGCTCTTAAGCCAATAGTTGGTGCATTCAACAACAACAACGACGACCCAATAAAATTCCACTAGTGGGTCTGGGGAGGGTAGTGTGTACGCAGACCTTACCCCTACCCCGAGGAGTAGAGAGGCTGTCTCCGAAAGACCCTCGGCCCAAGAGGACGAAAAGAGACAATATCAGTACCACCAACATATACCATTAGAAAAAATAATATCATCATGAAAACTAGAAAATAGATGCAAAGCAAAAGTTGGTGCATTTCGAGATGTCATTTGAGATGCTTCCATCATTAGACACCACAGACAATAGATTTGAATGAGATTGTGCCTAAACAGCACACAGAATGGATGAATTTGTTTGCTTCTCCTAAACAGCACACAGAGTAAATCCTATTGTGAGAAGGTAGGAGATCTAACCAGGTTGAACATTATTCCTAGATTGAATGGAATATTGAATCAGAGTAAGAACGGACAAGGTTCCTAATACTATGTGCCCTGACTACAAGGCTAGCCTTTCTTTAAGCAGTTCGTGGGGACAAAATTGATTCATGGGCCATTAACTTCCATCTGCTTGTAGTTCTCTGGCAATTGGCTCCTATATCCTTCCAGTGTAAACTACTATCATTAACTAGTTTCAAGGCAACAACAACTAACCTAAATTTCAATTCGAATATCAAATAGCTTCTACAGCTTAAATAAGCGGAGTTCCTAATATTTGACGCGTGTCGATTGAGACACCTCATCAGAACTTGCACTAAACATGAAAATGTGACAGACGTTACTTATAGAATACACTGTCTATAACAGAATGCTAGTGGTAAATTATAGAGCAAATAGATACTGAGGAAATTACTCAAATTTCCAGAAAATTGACCAAACCATTAAGATTGTGATTTTAAGCCTAATCTACTCCACCCCAAATACGTGACCATGCGTACACCTACAGACCGCCAAGAAATCTAATCCTCCCTTGGCCTTGCAATTGATTGAAGTAATATGAAAGCATTAGGAGTCAATACCTTTAACTCTTAGTTCATATGCAGCCCGGTCTCGCATCATTAGGGAAGCAGCCTCTCCATTCAATGGGTCTGATGGGTTTGGATACAAGAGAAGTTGGGGTAGAAACACCTCAAACACATTTACCAGATCTGCCAAGTTGTTTAATACCAGATAAGTTTCTCATAGTGATAATACTAGAAAAGCTAATAAGAATTATCAAGTAAGTAGTATCCAATTATGCTTGTAAGTGTTGTAATTTCAGATTACCAAACATGGGACTCCAAGTCTGATTGATAACATCTAAGCAAACTGAGCCAGACCTGAAAAAAGATAATTCATGAAATTTTAGACTTTCATTAAAGAAATGAGAACGATGAAATCTCCTATAATTATGGCAATGAAGCGCATTAGCACTGACATCTCATCAACATTTGGGTGGTAGATTTTGTTAATAAAACCAATGGATGGAGATTTATACGGGTAAGCATCAGGAAGTTCCACCCTTATTTTCCACACACCGCCATGATACGGACCTACAAAAATCACCTCAAGTATGAGCAAAAACTGAAGAAAACGCCACATCCAAAACAACTTTTGCAAAAAAGAAAATCAAATTGAATTCTACTAAATGCAAAGATGTAACTTGAAGACTCATTGGTGAAGAGCCAGTCAGCTGATATATGCAAAAATAGTAACTAGAGCTCCAAAAGATCACTCCTTTATATCTTTTCTAATTTAGGATCCAAAAAGCACAACTATTAACTAATTACAACAGCAAAATCCTAATTCACTTTCACAAATAGAGGGCAAACAGAATCAAAAGATCAAACATCTGTGTGTACATTAATTACCCAAGTTAATGTCCACTTTTCCCCCCATACTTCTTAAATAATTTTGATCAAGAATCATAACCCCCACCAAAAGAAAACACCATCAGAAGAAAAGAACAGCAACCATAAATTTCAATCACTAATTAGAAACGACAAAGACCCTCCTAAGGAAAATGGCTTAAAAAGCTAAAAACTTTAATAAATAGGCAAAAAAGAAAGAAGATTGAGAAAAGGGTAGAGCAGAATTTACTTTCAGTAGGTCCAAGGAAATGCACATAAAACTCTTGCATGCCATCATTAATCATCTCTACTTTGTAATCGCTCATCATCCTAATTCAGACAAGTAAAATAAACAGAAAATTAAAAAAGAATCAAACAAATAGAAACTCCAATTTTAACAACAACAAAAAAAGATTAGTTTTTTAATAAGAACTGATTAGAGATTCACAATTTCATTAAGTCCATCTCACGGCGTTTGCTTGGAGAAGACATGGTTGCTTTTTTTTCTCTTAGGATGATTCTAGAGAGAGAGAGAGAGAGAGGGAGAGAGAGGAAAAAAGAGTTGTTTGGACAAGTAGTAGTAAAAAGGTTCAGACAAGAGAGAGGGGAAGAAGGAAGTAGAGATAATAATGATACTGTGATTTGTCCTATAAAAAATTGTACAAGTATTAAATTTGGACATTTTAAATCACAATTAAGATTTCTGCAACTTTCAAGATTCTTCATCTGTCTGCTTTTGTCACCTACCATCTCCAATCCTATCCACATTTCCCCGTATTATTCAAGCTTGGAAAATTACGAGTTGTCACCCGACCTATGGCCCAAATTCTGTTTATATATTTTTTTGTGGACCATAATAATCTTATATACGTAACTTTTCTAAAGTAGGCCTAGTATATAATTTTTTTGACCAAATTTAAACGTGTGTAATACAAATTGGACCAAACGTGTGGACAGTATTTCAAGATAATTTTTGTCTTTAATAAATGATCAAAAACACATTCCAACGACCCTTTTTAAAAGATTAAAAGGACCTTAACCCATTTCTATCTATACTAGGACCCGATTTTCATCTTCTTCTTCCTCCTTGAAAGCTCTAAATTGAAGAAAATTTTATCTTCTTGAATCCAAAATTTATTCCTCTTCTTGAAGCTCGAAGACAATATTACAATCTTCTTCTATTTCTTCCTTCTCTTTTTTGACAAAGGGTTAAATTTCTAGGGCTCAATTTTAAGGTTTGGGAAAATGCATAATCTGAGAAAATTTTGCTATTGTGGTGAAGAAGATGTGGTGATACAGTCATGAAATGTTGATAATCCGGGTCATCGATTTTACGGATGTCCATTTTATGAGGTAAATATGAATTGTACTTTTCTTATCGATTTTATATTCAGTAATAATTTTTTCTCTTCAATTTTTCAGAGGGACAATCGATCGGCATATAATTTCTTTATGTGGTTTGACCCCCCAACTCCAGAGCACTTGAAAATGGTGATTTTGGGGCTGCTGAAGAAAAAGAGGGCATTTGATGCATTGTTGAAGGAAAATAGAAACCAAAGAAATTGGAGGAAATTGTGTGCTGATTTTAATTGCAATTGTGTTGAAGTTGATTGTGTTAGGTAGTTCTAAAGATTGTTATATAATGCAAGAAAATGAATGAAGTTTTTTGGTAGATTTTGTATCCCTTTTGTTAGAAATGAATGAAATCTTTTGGCAATTGTTAATGTTGTTTTGTTTGAGTTTGTTGTTGTGTGAGTTGAATGATTTTTTTTGGAAAGTGTTAATGTTGTTTCGTTTGACTTTGTTGCTGTGTGAGTTGATAGTGCAGTTAAAACACACCTCAAATTGTGACTGATAAAACACTAAAACACAGTCAAATAGTGACTGATATACAACTCAAATGCTGAAATTTTCCAGAAATAACAGCATACAAAAATGACAGCACAAATGCTTAACAACATACCAAAATAACAGCATTCATACATCACTAAAGACACATAGAAATTATCAAACAACACTAAAAATATATTTCATCATAGAGTAAAGGTGTTCATTACAGTTACCTAATAACAGCAGTCTGCCTTAAGAAAAATATACGCTGCCCAGTTTTACAGCATACCAAAATAACAGCAGGCTGCCTTAACAAAATAACAACACTAACAGCAAACCTAAATAGCAATTCCAAATTAACCTAACAACAGTTCCAAAATAAATTACAGTTCTAAAGGGAAATTACAGCAGTTTCAAAATAAATTAACAGTGACAATAACAAAATTCAGTGGTTGTTCTTGGATGGCTGGGATGATGAACTTGCTTGACTTAAATTGGATTGAGATGCGGCAGTTCTGGAACGAGTTGCAGCAGTACTTTCAAGTTGTCTTCTAGTAATGGCTGGTCTACCATTCTATTTTACACCACTTCTTGGCTTGTATGCACATTCCAGAATATCTGTCAAGAACCTCTTTTCACCACCATGAGAGACCACTCTTGGCTTACCTCCACCAGACTGCCAAAAACAGAAAATATGCAGTAAAGTTATTAAAGCAAACAAGATATAAAATTAACTTTGAACAACTAACAGAAAAAATTGCGAACCCACTGCTTGATTGAAATAGTCCTAACCCAGAACTTCCCCTACCACTATCAGTTCCTCTTCCTCTACTAGCAGCAGTTCCTCTTCCTCTACCAGCAGCAGCAGGGGCAAAAGTAGTTGGAGTTGAAGCTCTGGCAACGGTTCCTGTTCCTCTTGCTCTGCCTCTTCCTCTTCCTTTTTCTCCACATTTTTGTATATATGAAGCATTTGTTGGAGTAGAATCTGTAGGCCTTGCTTTCTTAGGGCATCTCCTCTTGTTGTGTCCATATCTACCACAGTTTGAACATGTTATCTCCATACCCATTCTTGAAACCTTTCCAGAAGTAGGATGTTCAGTTTATTCTCTTCTTCTCTTCTTCTTTGGTCTGCCAGGCATCTTTTTAATTGGTGAGGGTTCAATTGGTGGATTGGTAGATGTTGACCACATCTGCATGTTTGGCACAGGTTGGATGAATATTGAATATGCCTTCAGATAGGTGGATTTGTGGTACCAGTGAGATATGTAGTTAATTGGGTCAAGGTTCTTGAAATGCATAGCAACAATGGCATGAGCACGAGGGATACCCTTCAGCATCCATGACCTGCATGTACAAGTTTGAGCTTGCATATTCACACAATGCTTCAGCACCACTCTTAATGAGGTATCCTCAACCTCGTAGCCATATTCACCATTCCACTTGATTGTACACCTCATAGATTGGGCAATATTATCCTGATACACCTTCATAGCAATTGGGGATATATCACATATCCATGTATCTGCAAACTCCCTCAACTTTCCTATTCTCTCCATCATCTTCACTCAAATTTCCTCCAACATTGTGATAATTGTCTTGTGCCGAGCAGCAAGTATCCAAGCATTAAATGTCTCGCACATATTGTTGTCAATTATATCACATTTCCTGTCACAGTTGAAGTATGCTCTACACCAGGTTTCCTTGTTATACCTCAAGAGGCTCTCACATATCCCATTCCCAAGCATATTCAAACTGTCCAGGTGAAAATTCAGTTCTGCCACACATGATGCTCTAGCAAACCTCCAGAAGTTGTTTCTCCTCTCTAATCCTATCCAATCTTTGGACCAATTTGCTAATATATGTCTGGCACACCACCTATATTCACTTTCAGGCAACACTTCTGATACAGCTTTAAGCAATCCCTTAAACATAAAAAGAATTGAATTAGTTGCCAACAGAAACAAAAATTAGAAAAAATAAATATTGACAGAAAACAGAAACAGAAGAATATATTCACCCTTTGCATATCAGACATGATAGTAAGATCCCTTCCATCTTGAAGCTCTAAGTCATGAGTCAAACACTTCAGAAACCATGTCCAAGTGAAACTGTTCTCAACCTCTACAATGGCCCAAGCTATAGGAAACATCTGATTATTTCCATCCTTTGATACTGCTACAAGAAGTTGACCCTTACAAATGCCTTTCAGAAAACAACCATTAAGGCCAATTATCCTTTTGCAACCTTCAGACCATCCTTTTTTCATAGCATAGAAGCAAACATAAAATGAATTGAAGACAAGCTTGCCTTCACCTTGATCTTCTACCTTCACAACAGAAGTTGTACCTGGATTTGTCTGTAACAGAATATCTCTATAATCATAAAGTCTTTTGAACTCAGCACGCACATCACCTATTATCTCCTTCAGAATTTTTGCTCTAGCTTTATGTACAGTAGACCTACCAACAGTGGCGGACCCAGGATTTTTATCAAGCGGATTCAAAAAAAAAATTAGAGGCCATATGTGATTAGCTGGTTTCGAACTCAGGACCATGTGGAAAATTTGAACCCTCTTTACCAACAGGCTAGGCATTTTACTTGTTTCAAGTGAGTTCAAAATTATATTTATACCTTTACTTGTCTGAAAACAGCAAAAATATACCTATATATACCGTGTTATTTTTCGATGAAGCGGGTTTATATGAACTCACTTGACTCCACGTGGGTCCGCCCCTGCCTACCAACATACATGTCCAGTTCATCCTTAATGAGTTTCTTTAGCTCCCAAACTTTCATATTTGGTTGACACACAATCTTATCCCTGTAATGCTTTGCTAGGTGTCAGGAGTTGCAAAGCTTGTTTTTATTTGTTTTGTACACTTGTGGACAGGACAATACCTTTTTACCTTAAAATTGTTGGATTTGTCATCTTTGCTTGCAGCCAAGATCCATGAACATTTTGGATTCATGCATCTTACCCTCACCCTACCAGGTTCATTAATATACTTTTTAATTTGAACTCCTTTCTGAATTGCATGCTTACTAACAACAAACCTAAATTGTTCAACACTCTAAAAAATCAGCCCCAACTCCTAGGTTATTTTCTTGACAGTTGGACCAAATATCAGAGCTTTCTTCCTTCTCTTGGCAGCTATTTTCTCCTTATGTTCTTCATCAAATTCATCTTCAGCATCTGAAGGAAAACTTTCAGCATCTGAAGACCCAAAGTAAGGCTCATCTGTCCCTACTAAGCCTGTGTACCTATCTTGCTTGCTACCAGTTCTTAATTCATCAAAACCAATATCAACTCCTGCATCACCTAGGTTAATATCACCTCTATCTTTTGGCCTTTCACTCATTTTCCTCCTATACTTCTTCAGTTCATCCTTATACTCTACAAATTCTTCATGAACATCAGATCCATAATCCTTGTCATCAGAAACATGTAAATCTACTCCATCACTTTTATCCCTATCACTATTGTCAAAGTCTGAATCATTCTCATTGTCATCCTTACCTTCACTATTATCAAAGTCTGATTCACTATCTACTCCACTCTCTTGTTCTCTTGAAGGTGCGGGGACAGGAGCAGGTTCAGGAGAAGGAGAAGGGCAAGGGGAAGGGGAAGGGGTAGGTTCATGAGTAGGGGCAGATTCAGATTCAGATTCATTATCTTCCTCTTCTTCTAAGACATTTGTGCTCTTAAAAGCTCCACTATTAGACCCACCAACCCCTTTACTAGCCTCATTTATGTTAACAACACATAAAGGGGCAGCATGAGTCACATAAATATCTAAGGTATCCCCATCTTCCAATTCATTACAAATGTCTAAAGTATCCTTGCCTGTGAGAATATTTACCAATTTATCTGTCCTATCCATTGGACAAATATACAACTCAGACACATTTGAAAGTCATAGATCCTAGTGTAGTTCATCAGTTCAATAAGAGACAGTAAATCCACATCTACATCTAAAGTCAATGTTTGACTACCACCCACATAACGAGCAAAGTTACCAAGAACTAATACCCCATCATGGTACCACCTGAGGGTAATGATTTTAAAAGACATTATCTGCAAATAAATAAGGGACAAATAAATGGACTTTCCACATGCAACAATTGAAAATAAAGAACTACAGATGAAATATAAAAGTGGAGATAAAGACAAGAGCATATCACATTGTTCAAAGCAATGCTATTACAATAATCAGTTAAACCCTAACTTTACACATGGCTTGCAAATGCAAGACAAATCTTTTTTATAAAAAAAACTATCTGTAAAGGCAACAAGACGACAACTTCACAGTGATATCGACGATGACAAAAGATTCCCATTTTAAAAGTTCGATAACCCTAAGCAAAATAGAAGAAATTTCAAAAAAAAACCTAGGTTCAACCCACCCACTACTAAAATAAACGGGTAATGCAATGAGAAGAAAATTACTAACCTATTAACCGCATAAATCCACGATGAAAGCGTAGCTTGAGATGGTCACCGGAATCGCCTTTACAGTAGCTCCCTCTAGATGTATCAGATTTTGAGTACTGACTTGGGTCAGTTAAGGTCGGGTAGGGTCGGGTTAGTTATTATAACGTAATGGGTTAAAATTAAGTAAAGTCAAACGCGTGACATACACAGATGTCTTATTAACAGGATTTGGTCAAAGGAGGTGGGTACTAGATACACTTTAAAAAGGTTTCTTGTGTAAGGTTATTATCGTTCACATAAAATGTGTAAGGAAGATTTGGGCCAAAGGTTGGTGGTAAACTATGTATTAAGCCTTCAAGCTTCATAATCTCATTCTTCTAAAATGTGTTGGACTAAAACAAACCAAAAATACTTTTAATATAGTTTGGTATTGTCTTATAAGTAGTTTTTTTTTTCATGTGCGACTTTATTCACACACTATGAGCTAATTTGGAGATTAAGTGTATATTACCCATATGATCTTGAGTATTCACGGTCATCGAAATCCAAAAATTGTGTATGCGTCTCTAAAGCTACTAATAAAGGTCGTAAATTCCGTATACGGCCAAAGACACTAAGCCGGGCATCACACATCACTCCCTGCCATTTCCATAGTCCCGTCAAACCATTAGCTCTAATACCAACATCTTATTTACTTTTTATGTGGAACTGTGATCACACGCCCCTAACAATCTGGATAACTAGATTTCTCTAATAAATTTTTTCTTATCAACTTTAATCCATTATTGTGGTGTTTCAGGTAAATAAGATTAGTAATATCATTGAATGTTGAACAGAAATTCAGGAGTTGTCACTTTATTATGTCATTTCTATTTTATTTTTGTAACCTCTCTAATATTAAACTTCGAAATGTGGGGCAACAGTGTGGTTAGTGACAATCGTAATGCCTTCCACGGTAATATCATTAAAATTTATGTTAAACTTTGAGAGCATAAAATAATAGTCCACAACTGTGTCTATTTATGATAATTATTTTCTAAAATTAAATTGAGTCGTTACAACTTACAAGTGGACTGGAATCATGAAATATTGTTTCACAAAAAAAAAAAAAAATGATTATTACTTGATCAGAATTAAAGTAATTCTTTCTGAATTAAGACGATCATATTGGAAGTATCTACGACTGATTATCATAACGAAATAAAACTAAAGAAAGAGTAAAGCAGACAAGGTTAAGAATTTATATTTTCACAAAAATCTTTAAGGAATAATTCAATGAATCATAATTGATATGTTTGAAATAAAAGGAACTTAACATAAAGAAGTGCTTCAAGAGCTAACTGTTCTAAAAATCAAGAGGCAAGAAAATAATTACAAATGAGCTAGCAAAAAGTAGTATTTCCTCCGTTTTATATTAAATGAGTTAGTTTGACTCGGCACGGAGTTTGAGAAAAAAGAATAAGATTTTTGAAATTTGTGATGTTAAAAGCTTAAGGGGTAAAAAGTTTGTGGGGTCATAACATTTGTGTGGCTATAAAAACTTGTCATTAAGGGTAAATGGATAAAATAAAAGAGTTTAAAGTTGAATTATTTCCAAATTTAAAAATATGTCATTTGTTTTGGAACGGACTAAAAAAAAAGTACCTAATTTGATATGAAACGAAGGAAGTAGTAGATATATCGTACAAAGAATCCATGGCTACTGACCTATAAAAGTAAATCAATAAACAAGTTCAATGAATCACATGCCTACGAATAGGGGTGTATAGAAGAAACCGATAAATTGCATCAACCCAATAATTCGAGTCAAACCAAGAAAAAAAATCTGACTATGGTTCGTTTGATTTGGTTTGGTGTTGAAAAAAAAAACCCGACCATAATTGGTTTGGTTTGGTTTTAACTAAAGAAAGTCAAACCGAAACTAAACCAACCTGACATTACATATATAGAAATTTTAGATATATTTAATATATAAATATACTTATTGTGAT